CTGAAGGCTTCCTGTGGCTGGATGAAATCCAGAGGCTTTCCCACTCTTTGCATGGCCCTGCGGGACCTGACCCCTGCCCTCCTCTCTGACCTCATCTCCCACTCCTTTCCCAGCTTCTTATCTGCTCCAGCCACCCTGGCCTCCTGTTTGTCTTCAACACCCCCAGCTCGGTTCTGCCTTCCAGCCTTTGCAGTAGTTGCTCCCTTTACCTGGAATGCTTTGCTCCCAAACTTTTTTTTTTTTTTTAACTTCCAAACTTTTACCTGGTCACTATTTCTTGTCATTTGAGTCTCAGCTCCAGTGCCATGCAATCACTCGAAGAGGATTTTGCTGACTGCTGTATTTTAAAGTAGCTCCCTGCCACTCTTATTACATCAGCCTGTCTTATTTTCTCTTAGCACTATGTACCGATTCTTCTTCAGTTTCTTTCTTTTCTTTTTTTAATTGTTATTATTATTATTTTTATTTTTATTCTTATTCTTTTCTTCTTCAGTTTCTTTCTTTTCTGTCTGGGCTCACTGGAATTCAAGCTCTGCAGGTGCCGGCACCTTCTCTGAGTCCTCTGCCTCTATGTCCGTCCTGCCTAGAACAGTGTCCAGCATGTGGTAGGCACTCAGATACTAAATGGAGGGATGGATGAATAATTCATAAAGCAGGATAAAGTTCAACTTTAGGCTTGTGGCTCTGATTGGACTTATGTTTAGAGTCAGATTTAAGTTTACTGTTAGGAGTGGTGGTAAACTGGTTTCAAGATTAGCCCTGAAACAGGGTTGGGTTGGTGTAGAGGAGAAGTCTTATTTGGGGGGTTATTAATTGGGATGTGTTTAGATTTGAGGTTACAGTTACAGTTGGAGTTGGGTTTGAGTTGTGATTTGCGTTGAGGTTAAATTTGGGTTAGGGTTGAATTTGGTATTAAATCCCAATTTAGGTTTTGAGGCTAAGTTCAAGTTTGAAGCTAATGTCATTTCAGCCTCATCTGGAGGCCTCAGAGATTTCACTAGTTTCTCCACAAAGACCACTATAAAGACTGTATTTTCCTGAGTTTGGGGCACAAGTCTCCAGTCATCAGTTCTCCCACCCAGGGAAAGTCCCAAACCAACAGTTGGCCTGCCCAAGAAAGAAACCAAATTTCAAAGAACCTCCGAAACTGAGATTGAAACCAAGATTGGCCCATCTCAAGGAGCATCCTTCAGCACATCTCACATGCACGTGACACTGAGCCTCGGCCCAGCCTTGCCCTTCCTTCCTCTCTGTCTCTCATGTCTCCCATCACTCTTTCTTGGCTTCCCTTTTTTGTCCCTCAATGTCCCATTCTTCCACTTCGATTTAAATTTCTCTCTTTCTCTCACTATTCATTGCAATTGCAATGCTGTTTTTAATTTTTTTTGTTTGTTTGTTTTTGAAATAGAGTCTCTCTCTGTTACCCAGGCTGGAGTGCAGTGGTGAAATCTTGGCTAGCTGCAACCTCCACCTCCTGGGTTCAAGTGACTCCCCTCCTCAGCCTCCCCAGTAGTTGGGACTATAGGAACATGCTGCCACGCCCAGCTAATTTTTTGTATTTTTAGTAGAGATGGGGTTTCATCATGTTAGCCAGGATAGTCTCTATCTCCTGACTTCATGATTCACCTGCCTTGGCCTCCCAAAGTACTGGGATTACAGGTGTGAGCCACTGAAGCCGGCCTTGAAATACCATTTTATATTTTAATATAGCTCAGCTGAGGTCTCAATCCATCCGCTCTTACCATTAGAGAAGCAGAAAGAGACAACAGGAAGCAAAAAGAACCCTGAGAGAAAGAGCGACGTAGAGAAAAAGAAAGGAGCAGGGGCTAAGAGGGAAATCAACACTGACATAAGAGATAATACAGTGGTGGTGCATGCCTGTAGTCCCAACTACTTAGGAGGTGGGCAAGAGAATCACTTGAACCTGGGAGGCAGAGGTTGCAGTGAGCCGAGATCGTGCCACTGCACTCCAGCCTGGGCTACAGAGCTAGATTCTGTCTCAAAAAATATACATACGAAAAGAAATTTTCTGACCTACCTCACCTGATAGTAGGTTAGAAGAGCCTCATTCCAGCCGGGCAGGGTGGCTCACATCTGTAATCCCAGCTACTCAGGAGGCTGAGGCAGGAGAATCGCTGGAATCCAGGAGGCAGAGGTTGCAGTAAGCCAAGATTCGCCACTGCACTCCAGCCTGGGTGACCGAGCAAGACTCCGTCTCAAAAAAAAAAAAAAAAAAAAAAAAAAAAAACCCTCATTCCAGAAAAGGTTCTGCCCTATGCCTGGAAGGATGGAATGCTGTACAGAGAGACCAAGAAGAGTATGGCCGGCCTTGCTGGGTTCACCCCAACCCGTCTATTACCATTAAATTATGCTAGTTTTGTTCAATTACATTTCTGCACAGTTGTCCATTCTTCATCAAATCTAAGCATAAAAATAGTTTTCCCTGGAGGGGAAGCCCTAAGGAGGGCTTCAATTCCAAAGGCTCCCGTGTCACTTAAAATTTTGATTAAATAAGGCCAGGCGCGGTGGCTCACGCCTATAATCCCAGCACTTTGGGAGGCCAAGGCGGGTGGATCACGAGGTCAAGAGATCGAGACCATCCTGGTCAACATGGTGAAACCCCGTCTCTACTAAAAATACAAAAATTAGCTGAGCATGGTGGTGTGTGCCTGTAATCCCAGTTACTCAGGAGGCTGAGACAGGAGAATTGCTTGAACCCAGGAGGCGGAAGTTGCCCTGAGCCGAGATTGCACCATTGCACTCCAGCCTGGGTAACAAGAGCGAAACTCCATCTCAAAAAAAAACACTTTGATTAAGTAAATGTATTATGCTTTTCTCCTGTTAACCTGTCTTTTGTTGCAGAAGTATTGGCCATGATGAGTCAGGAAGGAATCGCCCCTTTCTGCCCTACAGAATAAAAAGAAATAATAGCTAAGACTAGTAAAGCATAAAAGGCAAAGGTGCAGGGCTTCAAGTAGAGAAGAGAACAGAAGAAATAGCTCATACACACCCAGAATGTTACTTTCATGTCCCTCCATGTTACTCCAAGATCCCTCAGGGACCTTGTGCCTGGGGAGAGAATCAGCCCGTGTAACGGTGGGCTTTACCCCGGGTCACCACCAACCCCAGCTCCAACCTCTCTAACATCGTCCAAGCAAAATTACACCAATAGCAGTAATAATATTTGAGGTGACCAGTTGGTATTATCTCAAACTTAGGAAAAGTGAATAAAGTCATCTTTAGGAATTGTGCTTTTTTTTTTTAAACCTTGTAACTTGCAAGCTAAGTGAAAATGGGCTCCTGTATGAGAATGCTGGTATCAACGTTTTTTGTGTTAGCCAAAAACTAGAAACAAACCAAATGCCCATCAACAGAAGAATATATTAGAGTATATTGATACGATAGAATATTACATCACAGTTAAAAAAAAAAAAAAACCACTACTGATACATGCAACCACATGGATGAATCTCACAAACAAAATACTGACTGAAAGAAGCCAAACAGAAATGAGTAGATTCTATATGATTTCATTTACATGATACCCCAAAGCAGGAGGAACTAGTCTATGGGGATGAAGGTCAGAGAGTGGTTGGTTATCTTTGGAGGGTATCAGCAGGGAAGGAGCATGAGGGAACCTACTCGGGACCTGAAAATACGTGGAGCTTGGCGGTGGCTACGTGGCTACAAACAGATGGAAAAATTCATCAGCTGTACACTTAAGAGGTGTCCACCTCAAACCTCTGTTACATATCAATAAATATATATATATGTATTCGGAACCTTTCTTTTTCTTGAGACGGAGTCTTGCTCTGTGTCCCAGGCTGGAGTGCAATGGTGCGATCTTGGCTCACTGCAGCCTCTGCCTCTCCAGTTCAAACAATTCTCCAGCCTCAGCCTCCCAAGTAGTTGCCACTACAGATGTGCGCCACCACGCCTGGCTAATTTTTTGTATTTTTTTAGAGACAGAGTTTCATCATGTTGGCCAGGCTGGTCTCGAAATTCTGACCTCTGACCTCAAGTAATCCGCCCACCTCAGACTCCCAAAGTGCTGGGATTACAGGTGTGAGCCACTGTACCCAGTCTGGAACAGTTTTAAAATAAGATATTTGCTCTGCAAATGCAACTTCAGGACAAGTCCCTTAGCTGTGTCCACCCCAACCCAAGTCACCACCCTTAAGCCTCACCCACGTGGCGTTCTGACACTTCTCCTGTAGAGAACTTTGGAAGGTGTCTGCCGCATTGATCCTGGAGTGTGTATTTATTTGGGGTTATATAAATCTGATCTGTGGAAGCTACCTGAGGTCAGGACGAGATGGAGGGCATCCTTCAGGAGTGGGATGTGTCCAGCATCCTCTCTGGGGAAGGGGACCAAAAAATTTATCTTCCAAACGAGGACCCTTTCAAGAATGGAAGGGGGCTCCATTAATATTTGCACCTGGACAAGAGGCAAACACAAGAATGTCCCCGATGAAGGGACATATAATGGACCTTCTTGATGTGAAACCTGCCAGATGGGCTGGAAAGTCCGTATACTGGAACAAGTATGACTTGAGTTGTTTGGGACAAGGACAAGGGACAAGAGAAGAAAATGGGCAAAGAGAGAAGCCGGTACTCAGCCAAGTGTGCAGAGATGTTACATATGATTGCTCTTCAGGGAACCGGGCCTCCAGCCCACACCCCAGCTGCTCAACCTCCTCCTCCCCGAATTGACTGTCCCTTCTCTGGAACTCCTAGACCTGACCCCACTCCCTGGCCCTCCCAGCCCACGATTCCCCTGACCTAACTCCCTTTCCCAGAATTCAGTCGCCTGAACCCCCAGCCTGTGGTTCTCTTCTAGGCCTCAGCCTTTCCTGCCTTTGACTGAAACAGCAGCATCGTCTAAGCCCTGGGGGCTTCCCCGGGCCCCAGCCCCGACCTAGAACCCGCCCGCTGCCTGCCACGCTGCCGCTGCCGCTTCCTCTATAAAGGGACCCGAGCGTCCGGGCCCAGGGGCTCCGCACAGCAGGTGAGACTCTCCGGCCCCATCTCCTTGGGCTGCCCGTGTTCGTGCTTCGGACTGCCACCCCGCAGTGTCCTGCCCTCTGCCTGGGCCTCGGTCCCTCCTGCACCTGCTGCCTGGATCCCCGGCCTGCCTGGGCCTGGGCCTTGGTGGGTTTGGTTTTGGTTTCCTTCCCTGTCTCTGACTCTCCATCTGTCAGCCTCTTTGTCTCTGTCTCTCACACATTCTCTGTTTCTACCATGATCCCTCTCTGTTCCCTTCCCGTCTCTCTCTGTCTCCCTCTACTCACCTTGGGGTATCTCTGACTGCATCCTGTCCCCTTCTCTGTCGATCTCTCTCTCCGGGGGTGGGGGGTGCCGTCTCCCAGGGCAGGAGGTCTGTCGCCTGTCTCCTGCAGTGTGCCCCGCCCCGCTCACTCTCTCTCTCTCTCTGCAGGTTCTCCCCCATGACACCACCTGAACGTCTCTTCCTCTCAAGGGTGCAGGGCACCCCCCTACACCTCCTCCTTCTGGGGCTGCTGCTGGCCCTGCTTCCTGGGGCCCAGGTGAGGCAGCAGGAGAATGGGGATTTCTGGGGTGGCCCAGCCAAACCTTGAGCCCTAAAGCCCCTCCTCAACTCTATTCTCCCCTAGGGGCTCCCTGGTGTTGGCCTCACACCTTCAGCTGCCCAGATTGCCCGTCAGCACCCCAAGATGCATCTTGCCCGCAGCACCCTCAAACCTGCTGCTCACCTCGTTGGTAAACATCCACCTGACTTCCCAGACATGTCCCCCACCAGCTCTGCTCCTATCCCTGCCTCAGGACCCCAAGCATCCACCGCCCTCCCCCAACTTCCCCCGCCCCCAAAAAGCACTGGCGGCCCACTCTTAAACCTCCCCCAGCCATCCCCCAGGAACTCAGTTGTCCAGTGCCTGCTTCCTTGGGGATCGAGACCTCTAACCCAGACCCCTGACCTCCCACCCCCATCCCCTATGGCTCTTCCTAGGAGACCCCAGCAACCAGAAATCACTGCGCTGGAGAGCGAACACGGACCGTGCCTTCCTCCAGGATGGTTTCTCCTTGAGCAACAATTCTCTCCTGGTCCCCACCAGTGGCATCTACTTTGTCTACTCCCAGGTGGTCTTCTCTGGGAAAGCCTACTCTCCCAAGGCCACGCCCACCCCGCTCTACCTGGCCCATGAGGTCCAGCTCTTCTCCTCCCAGTACCCCTTCCACGTGTCTCTCCTCAGCTCCCAGAAGATGGTATATCCAGGGCTGCAGGAACCCTGGCTGCACTCGATGTACCATGGGGCTGCGTTCCAGCTCACCCAGGGAGACCAGCTCTCCACCCACACAGATGGCATCCACCACCTGGTCCTGAGCCCTAGTACTGTCTTCTTTGGAGCCTTTGCTCTGTAGAACTTGGGAAAATTCGGAAAGAAAAAAGAATTGATTTCAAGACCTTCTCCCCATTCTGCCTCCATTCTGACGATTTCAGGGGTCACCACCACCTCTCCTTTGACCATTCCAACAGCTCAAGTCTTCCCCAGTCAAGTCAGCTGGAGCTTTCAAAGAAGGAATTCTAGGCATCCCGGGGGACCACACCCGCCTGAACCATCCCGGATGTCTGTCTGGCAGAGGAGTTCAAGCCTGTCTAGGAATTCCCAGCCCAAAGCTGTTGGTCTGTCCCACCAGCTAGGTGGGGCCCAGATCCACACACGGAGGAAGAGCAGACACGTGGGGGAGCAGGGGGCAGGGAGGGGACTATTTATGAAGGCAAAAAACTAAATTATTTATTTATGGAGGATGGACAGAAGGGAATAATAGAAGAACATCCAAGGAGAGAGAGAGAGAGAGAGGCCCAAAAGATGAAGAGTGAGAGGGCATGGGCACAAGAAAGAAAGAAATCGGCGTCACGGGGGGTCATGGGGCCTCAGAAGGCAGCGAAAGGCCCTGAAAGCCAGCTGCCCACCAGAGCCCCACACGGAGGCATCTGCATGCTTGATGAAGCCCAATAAATCTCTTTTCTCTGAAATGCTGTCTGCTTGTGCATGTCTGTCTGGGAGTGAGAATTCCCCAGTCTATCTAAGGAATGGTGGGCAGGACAGAGGGCTCAAAGGGAGGAACAGCTGTGAGCAGAACAAGAGGATAAAGGGCTCAGAGAGCTTCAGGGATATGTGATGGGCTCGCCAGGTGAGGCAGCCAGGCTGCTGCAGGGGAAGCAAAGGAGGAGCTGAGAAGGCAAAGGAAAAGTCAGGGTCTGCAGGGGCGGGGGTCAGGGAGCCGCCGGGGGGGATATGGTCACATGTAGTGGCTCTGAGGAATGGGTGACAGGAGACCTCTGGGGAGATGTGACCACAGCAAAGGGTAGGAGAATGTCCAGGGCTATGGGGGTCGAGTGTGGGTACCCCCACTCCAAGACAGGGCCATACAGAGGGCCCCAGAGAGTGAAAGAGCCTCCAGGACCTCCAGGTATGGAATACAGGGGATGTTTAAGAAGACATGGCCACGCATTGGGGCTGTGAGAAATGAGAGCTTCACAAACAAATCAGGGACCCCAGAGTTTCTTGGAAGCCAAGACTGAAACCAGCAGTGTGAGTCCCAGGGTCAGAATGAAAGGAGAAGCCCTATCCAGTGGGGTCCGTGAATTCCCGGGGCTGATTTCACTCCCTGGGGCTGTCCCAGGCTTGTCCCTGCTACCCCCACCCAGCCTACCCTGAGGTCCTGAGCCTGCCCCCAAGTATGGAGCTGCCCTGTCCCTGGCTCCTTCTCCTCCCAGGGACCCAAACACAGGCCTCAGGACTCAACACAGCTTTTCCCTCTAACTCCATTTTCTCTCCCCTGAGGACTCAGCTTTCTGAAGCCCCTCCCAGTTCTCCCTCTTTTTCCTGCATCCTGTCTGGACATCAGAGGGAAACAGACCACAGACCTGGTCCCCAAAAGAAATTCAGACAATAGGCTTTGAGGGGCATGGGGGAAGGGACTTCAGCCTCCAGGGTCGTACACACAAATCAGTCACTGGCCCAGAAGGGCCCCTCGGAATTGGAGCAGGGAGGGCGGGGAGTGTGAGGAGTATCCTTGATGCTTGGGTGTCCCCAACTTTCCAAATCTCCACCCCCGTGATGGAGAAGAAACAGAGACTGAAGCTTCAGGGCCCACTACCGCTTCCTCCAGATGAGCTCATGGGTTTCTCCACCAAGGAAGTTTTCCGCTGGTTGATTGATTCTTTCCCCGCCCTCCTCTCCCCTCAGGGACTTTATAAAGGCAGTTGTTTCACACCCAGCCAGCAGACGCTCCCTCAGCAAGGACAGCAGAGGACCAGCCAAGAGGGAGAGAAGCAATTCCAGATCCCCCTGAAAACAACCCTCAGACACCACATCCCCCGACAAGCTGCCAGGCGGGTTATCTCTCTCTCACATACTGCCCCAAGGCTCCACCCTCTCTCCCTTGGAAAGAACAGCCATGAGCACTGAAACCATGATCCAGGACGTGGAGCTGGCCGAGGAGGCGTTCTCCAAGACCCAGGGGCCCCAGGGCTCCAGACGGCGCTGGTTCCTCAGCCTCTTCTCCTTCCTGCTCGTAGCAGGTGCCACCGCCCTCTTCTGCCTGCTGCACTTCGGAGTGATCGGCCCCCAGAGGGAAGAGGTGAGTGCCTTGCCAGCCTTCATCACCCTCCCACCCAAGGGGAAGCAGAGACGCAAGAGAGGAAGGGAGACGGAATGGGCAAAAGACGTGTGCTGACAGGGAGGGATGGAGAGAAAAAACGTGGAGAAAGATGGGGATGCAGAAAGAGATGTGCCAAGAGATGGAGAAGAGAAAGCGAAAGATGGAGAGACAGGATGTCTGGCACACAGGAGGCGTCCACTAAGTGTGTATGGAGTGAATGAATGAATGAATGAATGAGCAAGCAGACATATAAATAAGATATGGAGACAGATGTGGGTGTAACAGAGAGATGGGGAAGAAACAAGTGATACGAATAAAGATGGTGAGACAGAAAGAGATGTGGGAGATAGGAGAGAGAACTAAGGACAGAGACGAGGGCGATAAGTATGAAGATAGGGTGTCTGGCGCGCAGAAGACACTCAGTGAAAGAATTGTTGAATGCACGGAGGGTGACTACACGGATGAATGGAGAAAAAAAAAAAGCAGACACCTCAGGGCTAAGAGCGCAGGCCAGGCTGGCAGCCAGCTGTTCCTCCTTTCAGGGCGCCTCCCTCGCGACGCTAACCATTCTCCTTCTCCTCAGCAGTCCTCCAGAGACTTCTCTCCAATCAACTCTCTGGCCCTGGCAGTCAGTAAGTGTCTCCAAACCTCTTCCCTAATTCTGGGTTTGGGTTGGGGGGTAGGGTTAGTACCGGGATGGAAGTAGTGGGGGAAATTTAAAGTTTTGTTCTTGGGGGGAGGACGGATGAACGTGAAAGTTGTTAGGGAGGTATTTTCTAGAAGTTGAAGGGTCTCAGCTTTTCCTTTTCTCTTTCCTCTTCAGGATCATCTTCTCGAATCCCGAGTGACAAGCCTGTAGCCCATGTTGTAGGTAAGAGCTCTGAGGATGTGTCTTGGAACTTGGAGGGATAGGATGAGGGGGTTGAAGCCTGGCTGAGGGTAGTCGGGCCTCGGAGACAGTGTGAGAAAGACTCGCTGAGGCCGGGCGCGGTGGCTCAAGCCTGTAATCCCAGCACTTTGGGAGGCCGAGGCGGGTGGATCACAAGGTCGAGAGATCGAGACCATCTTGGTCAACATGGTGAAACCCCGTCTCTACTAAAAATACAAAAAAAATTAGCTGGGCATGGTGGTGCGTGCCTGTAATCCCAGCTACTCAGGAGGCTGAGGCAGGAGAATTGCCTGAACCCAGGAGGCGGAGGTTGCGGTGAGCCGAGATCGCGCCATTGCACTCCAGCCTGGGTAACAAGGGCGAAACTCCGTCTCAAAAAAAAAAAAAAAAAAAAAAAAAAGACTCGCTGAGCTCAAGGGGAGGGCGGAGGAACAGCACAGGGCTTGGGGGATACTCAGAACGTCATCCAGGTGGGACGTCGGGTGACAGACAGAGGGGACAGGAACCGGATGTGGGGTGGGCAGAGCTCGAGGGCCAGGATGTGGAGAGTGAACCGACATGGCCACACTGACTCCCCCCTCTCTCTCTCTCCCTCCCTCCAGCAAACCCTCAGGCTGAGGGGCAACTCCAGTGGCTGAACCGCCGGGCCAATGCCCTCCTGGCCAATGGCGTGGAGCTGAGAGATAACCAGCTGGTGGTGCCATCAGACGGGCTGTACCTCGTCTACTCCCAGGTCCTCTTCAAGGGCCAAGGCTGCCCCTCCACCTTTACGCTCCTCACCCACAGCATCAGCCGCATCGCTGTCTCCTACCAGGCCAAGGTCAACCTCCTCTCTGCCATCAAGAGCCCCTGCCAGAGGGAGACCCCACGGGGCGCTAAGACCCATCCCTGGTATGAGCCCATCTACCTGGGAGGAGTCTTCCAGCTGGAGAAGGGTGATCGACTCAGCGCTGAGATCAGTCCGCCTGACTCTCTCGACTTGGCTGAGTCTGGGCAGGTCTACTTTGGGATCATTGGCCTGTGAGGAGGACGAACATCCATCCTTCCCAAACCCCTCCCCTGCCCCGATCCCTTTATTATCCCCTCCTTCAGACACCCTCACCCTCTTCTGGCTTAAAAGAGAATTAGGGGCTTAGGGTCGGACCCCAGGCTTAGAACTTTAAGCAACACCAGCACCACTTGGAAACCCGGGACTCAGGAAAGTGTGGCCTGCACAGTAAAGCACTGGCATCCACGAAGAATTCAGACTGGGGCCTCCAGAACTCACTGGGGCCTACAGCTTTGATCCCTGAACTCAGTCTGTGACATCTGGAATCTGGCCACCAGGAGCCTTTGGTTCTGGCCAGAACGCTGCAGGACTTGAGGAGACCTCACCCAGAAGTTGACATGAGTGACCTCGGCCTTCCTTTCTCCAGATGTTTCCGGACTCCCCTGAGACACAGAGCCCGGCCCTCCCCATGAAGCCAGCCCCTCTATTTATGTTTGCACCTGTGATTATTTATTATTTATTTATTATTTATTTATTTACCGACGAATGTATATTTATTTAAGAGGTCGAGGCATCCCGAGGGACCCAGTGTAAGAGCTGCCTTGGCCAGACATGTTTTCTGTGAAAACAGAGCTGAATAGTAGGCTGTTCCCATGTAGCCTCCGGGCCTCTGTGCCTTCTTTTGATTATGTTTTTAAAAATATTCATCTGATTAAGTTGTCTGAAAAATACTGATTTGGTGACCGACTGTCACTCATCACTGAACCTCTGCTCCCCAGGGGAGTTGTCTGTAATCGCCCTACTATTCAGTGGCGAGAAATAAAGTTTGCTTAGAAATGAAACGTGGTCTCCTTTTTGGAATTAATTCTGCATCTGCCTCTTCTTGGGAGTGGGAGGAAGCTCCGTAAGTCCTGTCTCCACAGGGTTTAAGATCTCTCAGACCCAGTCCCATCCTTAGACTCCTGGGGTCCTACATAAACAAAGCCCAGCAGAATATTCCCCATCCCCGAGGAAACAGGAACATGAACCTAATTACCTTTCCCTCAGGGCACGGGAATTTCCAATTCTGGGAATTCCAGTCCTTGCTGGGAAAATCCTACAGCTCAGGTGAGATTTCTGGCTGCTGCAGCTGGCCAACCAACGGAGAAAGCTGGGGAGGAGCCACATTCTCACGTACCTGAATCATAGTCAAGGGACTTCCAGAGATTCAGGTATGTAAGCTTCAAATCACCCTGTCCTAACTCTGCCACCTGAACCAGCCATTTAACCCATCTATCAATGAAGATAGGAACATCCTCCACACATAGGGCATGCCAGAGAAGGTTTGACCTCCATCAGAGGACCCCACTCAGCCCTTGGCACAGCGGGCACTCAGTGAATTCTGGCTTACTTCCTGCAACCAGTTTCCAGCTGTTCTATCCCCTTCCGTTCTCTCAGTGGGTGAAATTGAAGATAATGAAGACAATAAAGAAGGAACTGAACCGCTGGGCATGGTGGCATGCACCTGCAATCCCTTCACTTCAGGAGATCAAGGTGAGAAGACTGCTTGAACCCAGGAGCTCGAGAGCAACCTGGGCAACATAGTGACATCCTGTCATCCTGCCTCTATTTAAAATAAAAGAAAAATCTATAGGAATAAGAGGTGGGTGAAGGACTCACAAGCCAGTTTGGTCCCACTCGTCTTTGTAGTGAAGGAGGGGAGAGGTGTGAGATGGGTGATCTGGAAATGTAATTTCAGCACTTTGGGAGGCTAAGATGGGAGGATCACTTGAGCCCACTAGTTCAAGACCAGCCTGTGAAACATAACAAGACTTTGTTTCCACAGAAAATTTAAAAATTAGCCAGGTGGGCTGGGCACCGTGACTCACGCCTGTGATCCCAGCACTTTGGGAAGATGAGGCAGTTGGATCATGAGGTCAGGAGTTTGGGAACAGCCTGACCAACATGGAGAAGCCTCATCTCTACTAAAAATACAAGATTAGCAGGACATGGTGGCACATGGCTATAATCCCAGCTACTCGGGGGGCTGAGGCAGGAGAATCACTTGAACCCAGGAGGAGGAGATTGCGATGAGCTGAGATCATACCATTTGCACTCCACTACCACACGGTTTTCTCCAGCCTGGGCAACAAGAGCGAAACTCCATCTCAAAAAAATAAAATAGGCCGGGCGCGGTGGCTCAAGCCTGTAATCCCAGCACTTTGGGAGGCCGAGGCGGGTGGATCACGAGGTCGAGAGATCGAGACCAACCTGGTCAACATGATGAAACCCCGTCTCTACTAAAAATACAAAAAATTAGCTGGGCATGGTGGTGCGTGCCTATAATCCCAGCTACTCAGGAGGCTGAGGCAGGAGAATTGCCTGAACCCAGGAGGCGGAGGTTGCGGTGAGCCGAGATCGTGCCATTGCACTCCAGCCTGGGTAACACGAGCGAAACTCCGTCTCAAAAAAAATAAATAAATAAAATAAAATAAAATAAAAAGCCAGATGGGGCATGCCTGTAGTCCTAGCTACTCAGGAGGCTGAGACAGGAGGATCACTCAAGCCCAGGGTCTGAGGTTACAATGAGCTATGATCATGCCACTGTACCCCCTGTCTGGGTGACAGAATGACACCCTGTCTCAAAAACAGTATTCCAAAAACAAATATGGAGGCAGCGATTGAGCTCCCCCAAGACTGGGAGCCCCCAGTGAACTCGGAAATTAGGCTCTACCACCAGCCCTGGGGTGCCAGGCAGGAGAAACATGTGTAGTAGGCTGAGGGGGTGGGGTGACCCAGTGGGGTGACCTAGATAGGGCATTGGGTCACCTTCTGCCTCCCCCAGCCTGTGGCTGAAAGTCCGACGTGAAGGAGGGACTACCGTTACCCCGATGCACCCACACTTACTCACTTTTGGGAAGGGGGGCCTGAAGTGTGAACCAAAGGTGAGGATTTTCCGCCTCACCCTAAACGGGACATTGTGGCATTGGTTTTTCCTCCTCCCCAGAACTTCCTGGTGTTTTCGGGCACCACAGACTCCTTCCGTCATCCCCGTCTCTCTCTAATATCTTCCCCTTCTTTCTCCTTCCGCCTCCTCCCTTCAGCCCCGGTGAGCCTTGAATTAAGCTCCTTGGAGAAGCGTTGACTGTGGGGTAGGAGAGAAAGCGGCCTTCAGGCAGCCCTGGGGGAGAAGTGCGGGGCCCCTCCACGCCTCATTCCTCTATCATGATAGGGGCTTACTCTGCTGCTGCGCCTTTCTGAGCGGTGCTTGCTGTGTTCTGCAGTGATCCCTCTCAGTGTTGCGAGGACCCAAGAAAAGAGTGCGGTGCAGAGTCTGGTTGGGACCATGTGGGCCTGAAAATCAGGATGCCTGGAGAAGCGTAGGAGTTTGAGGAGTCCCCCTTTCTTCCACCCTCCAACTGGACTCATGGTGGGGCCTGGCCATTCAGAGGCAGGGAGGGGTGGGACCAGCAGACCACCATCCTCAGGAGCAAAGCCCATACATTGTGTTGTGGTGCATTGTTTCAAGCAACCAGAAAAGTACAGAGAATATTTAACCCACACCCGTGCACCCATCCCGAGTGAAGACGCGTCACATAGCAGCATCTGTATCAGCAGCACTGAAGCTTTCCATTCTTTATTTTCATCAGACTCAAAATCCATTTCCAAACAGTCTCCTACATTTTTCCCACTGCCATGGGGTCCTGGGCGTCCGGGCCCCCAATATTCACGCACTCGCATCACGCAGTCATATCCCCTCACCCCACCATCACCGCCCCAAAGAAGGTCTTCCCTCTCGCGAAGTCCACCATATCGGGGTGACTGATGTTGACGTACACCCTCTCGCCCCTCCGGAGCTGCACCAGGCCGCCGAACCCCACGCTCGTGTACCAGAGAGGCCCGTACCCTTGCCTCCCGGCCGGGTCCACCACGAGGGTCACGGTCTCGGCGCCCTCGAGCAGCAGCTCGGGAGTGCCCGGCCCGTAGGCGCCCCCCTCCCGGTACAGCGAGCTGCGCAGCGTGACCGAGCGGCCGCGGGGACCCTCGCCGCCAGGGGGCGCCCGGCCCCGGTAGCCGACGAAACAGTAGAGGTAATAGAGGCCGTCCTGCGGGAGCGCCAGCCCCTCGGCGTCCGAGAACCGCGTCCCGGGGCTCAGAAACGCCTGTTCCTTCGTCGCCTCCCAGGCCAGCCTCTGCCCCTTCAGCGGAGCGCCTGCGGAGACAGGGGCCCGCGCGCTCTTGGGAAAACGATCCTAAGGGCTCGGGTTCTGGAGGGTGGCGGCTCTTAGCCCCGCGGGGAGCCGCGCGGGGCCGCGGCGGGGTGTGTGTGGGGGGGCGGGGGGGAGGTGCTGTCTCTGGGATGAGTGCGAGCTGGGGGCCGAGGGAACAGGGAGGTGGGGTGCAGGGCGCTGTAGTGGGGACGTCCGGGCCGGCTTTTGCCTGCGCTGGCGGGAATAAGCAGCTGCACCGCGGGGACGAGCGGAAGGGTGGGCACGAGCGGCGAAAGGTGGTAAAGCGGGTGGAAAACCGAGCCCCGGAATCATGGAGCCCAGGGACTCTGGGCCAGCAGAACTGGAACCTTCGGATTATTTAAATTTATTCGGGTCTTTGAGAACCTTACCTATGAGGTGGGCAGCTGGGAGCTCGGGGCTGAGATCTGTTTCTGGCTCCTCCTCCGGCAGCTTCTGAAACCCTGGAAGGGGCATAATAGAGTCCACGATTGGGGCCAGGGCAGCCACTCATGCTGGCGACCCTTGAGAGGACAGGGTTCAGGGATGGGGAGCCTGGATTCCTGGAGGAAGAGGTATCTGGGTACACAGCCGGGAGCTGGGAGCCCCTGAGGGGCTGGATAGGGTAAGGAGAAACGGTCAGCTCTTACCCAGTCCTTGCTGGGCCTGTGCCCCGGGGTCAGCGGTCTCCGTTACCTGGTTGGGTGGGGTCACAGTGCCCAGAGTTCAGATTCAGCTCATGTCACCCCTACCCCTCTGAAAATGGACTCAAGCTGCAGGCCTGGGGTTTCTCCCACTAGCACCATCCCCAACCACACCTCCCTAGAAGGGAGAGGAAGCAAGGCATAGGTACTTGGGCAGAGAGACAGATGTGCCTTGGGAAGAGGTGACATAAGGGGCTTACGTTGGGAGATCAGCACATCATAGGTACAGTACATGGAAAGAGAGTCAGCAAAGACACAAGACATCCCCACCAGAGACAGCAGAGCCAGCTAAGCCAGACGGGGCAAAAGACCACAGGCACGACCAGAGGGAGCCCAGCATCCGCAACAAACAGCCCTCCACCAGGACCTGTTGCAGCCACTCACCAGTCCTCCCTGATCCTGGGGCACCAAGGCCAGCACAGCCAGGACAGTGATAGGCACCACCAGCAACAGGGTCACCAGAAATGTGGCTCCTGCCACAGCTAGCAGGAGGGAGCCCCTCCCCTGGAGCCTCCCACCCCTACCCTCCAGCCCCATTGCCCCCATTGAGACTGAACCAGAGGCAAAGCAGGGGTTTTCATACCTCAGGGATGGGGCCACCCCCTCCCTGTAGACTCACACACCTGGCTGGGACTTTCCACACACCCCGTCTCCCCTCACCCAGCTTCCTGTTTACCCAGAGCTGGGGTGGGGCAACTGGATGCCTGGGTTCTCCGAACTGGGGGAGAAGTTGGGGTATGCAGACAGGCTCTCAGGGTGGAACCAAAGGGGACTTTAGACATCTTCTGGCTCAGCAGAGAGGGAAACTGAGGCCTGGGGAGGGAAGGTAGCTTGCAGAAAGTCAGTCAGCAGAGCTGAAATGAGAACACCGATCTCCAGGTGCAATGTGGTTTGCATTCTTCTATACCTTTAAGGTAGGTGCTGA